TGGGGGGGGGGGGGGGTTGAGCTTGCCCACACTTCCTGGTCTGCTGAATGAAGCCTCACCTCCCTCCTCTTCTGCGCCGTTGGAATTAAATAAAGGAAACTGGGAGAAGTGTGTATGTGACAGCTTTTTTCACCCAATGGTAAATTTCTCTCACTGTTTCAGACCTGCCATTAATAAACTGATAGCATCTTTATCCGCTTTTTTTCATAGTTTATCATTCAAAATATGAAGAATAAGAATGCTGCCATTTATAGTTGTATGAAATATTGACTAAATAATTTCCCGTTAGGGATCACCTTTCAGTTATATTGCATTAAGTAAAAGAACACAAAGCTCATGCGAGATTATTTATGATAAAAGATGGACCAAGAATCCTTCATATTCTGCCACTTCCTTGTCAGGCAGAAATAGAATTGCGGTGGAGTATTTCGCACTCAGGCATCTCATTGGTTCATTCTATATCCTTCTTGGTCTTGTTTCTGAGAGGTGATTACGTACTGCTTGGTGAGGTCGCCAGCTTAGGCTACTACAAATTCTACTATGACAATGTGTTTAAGGACTTATAATGTCCATATCATAATGAGATTCTTAGAGATTATTCTTCTATCGCACGTATGTCTATATGGTCAGAATTATATCGATACTCGTAGGCAAGCTTGGGGCTAAAGAGTTCGAGGATTACTCAGATCTCCACTTTGTATTAATTTTTATGTAAAATTTCTTATTTTTAACTCTTATGAGGTTAGTCATTTCATTCTCTGTCATTGCACCCATACTCTATTTGCTGAATCAACTAAACACAAAATCCCTGCAAAATTAGCTCGCCAAATTGTTGGCTAGAAATTCGTACTATCTTGCGGTATCCACTTTCGAGGTTACTTAAAATTTTCCGTTGGGCTTTTGACTGCCAAATCCTCCTTTAACCTTTTTTCCATCTGACACTTTTTTGTCGAGGGTATGAAATTTTTGGCTCAATAAAAGTCTCTCTCTCCCTCTCGCTATATACATATATTTGAAGAATTCATTTCACAATTTAAACGATGTAATTGAGCTGATTTATTTTAGCCTTGTGTGTCCTTTATTTCTTGTTATTATTATTATTAAATGTGGGGATGTGAATTAGTCATATTTGTCTTTATTTAATGGGGCGGTAGCCCATCTGATCCAGTTCTTGTTTCCTTTACTTAATGAGCACTATTTTGTTTCCGTCGGTGTATACAAAGTTCTATTCTGCTGTGTATGACAGCACAATTGTGCCAAACTTTTAATTTACTTTTTTCTTTCTTTCACTTAGTAAAAGCATATAAAAGGACGCACTGGTTAACAACTGGCCTTGCATCCAAGTGCCTTCATATACGTTCTTTGCATTCGCACACGCAAGCACACACACGCACACACACTGATATTTTATCGCAAAATACTCCCATCCGTTACATACAATAAATAGATACGTGACTTCTGGCAGTCCACAAGCAGACAAAAATACTACTTATAAAGGACATCAAATGTCTGGTCGAGGCTTTGAAATTTCTGATTTAGGAGAAACAGCCCCCCTCCCCCCAGAAGCACAAACAATTTGCTTCCTTTCCTGTGAGAATACAATATCCCAAAGCGAATGGCAGTTGGCTTTATTTGCCTAAAGTGTAAAGAACACGCCTCGAGCACATGTCTGGCATGTGTAATGAATTAGCTTCTGTTTTCGTTCTTAAAATAGCTATTAAGACGGCCCATCCGATTACTTGAAGTGGACTTCTTTATATCCACTGTTAGGAGGATTAGTCATAGGCGAATTACAACCGCTAATTTGTCTCCCTCGTTCTGTGTGGATTAACGCGTACAAAAGGGAGAGTTTAGCCAACCAAATGTCTGCCCTTCCCTCCCACTCTTTTATATAATCCCATTGATGTTGACACGATCGAGTCTCTTGTGAGGTCATGCCAGAAATTAATAAAAATTCGACTGTTTAATGGATTGTAGATTTGCCGAATGCTCTTATTTTTGGTGTGAAGGGATTTTAGCTCTTTTATTGGAATTCTCAAGGGGGTGGGGGCAGAAGAGGAGAAGGTGGTGGTCCAGTGGTCTAAATCGATAACTGCATTCCCTCGATGAAAAGATTGCCAAGAAAATGCTTTCTTTAAGCATTAAACCAGGAAGATTGAATGGACATAGACACTTTTAGGCATAGACTGATGGTGAGGTAGTCCTCTTATCTGATATCGTACTCATTTAAAATAAGAGTGGAACTCGGTTAAAGCATTGCAAAACTTTCCTCGTCAGATGTTTGAGGGGAGGGGTTAGAATTCTCCGCTTTTATTCTCTAAATTTCCATTTTAAGCACATATTTGTGTGCTCCAGTATATCGATGATATCTCCCATCCTCTCTACTGTCCTTGCATTTTCGATGGGAGTGTTTATGCCTATTGCTATTTGCTGAATATAAGTTGTTTACTAGGTCGTACATCTTCTCGCTTACCCCCACGTCATTCTAATTCTACCATCAAGTGTTGGATGCACTTACAACGATTGATAACCTCTGCCACTTTACGGAAGCACAAATTTCCTCATACTAGACTAAGGCATCTCTTAATTGGTACAGTCGTATGTTTGAAGTAGTTCTCAATCCTCAAATCCAGTTTATACTTCGCTATTAAAATTAATCTTACTCCTTAATATAAAAAGCCAGGCTGCTATAAATGAGTAAACTACTGAATGCACTATTTGGCACAGTGGGAGTCTACTGGATATATGAATATTGCCCTATACTTTGAAATAATGTACTTTAATATGTTTGCACACTCTTGCACTTTCGATGTTAAATTGACCTCTTAGCAACACTGAGATGATGAGTTAAGGTATCGAGAAGTCTTACTACATTTGTTTTTTTGGATTCGAATTGTGCAATATTTGCCTTGAAAGGTTAGTTCACACCCAAATAATTCGAATTCGCTTCCTAAATTACTGTGCGAAGTCGTGAATACCATATCTCACGCTCATTGATCGGTTGTTTAAATATCACGGCTAATCTTCCTACCCTAGTCCTTCTTTCTGCCAACTATGGACTAAAGGGGAATGGTGTTATACGAAATCAAGCAGATTTGCACGATTTTAACAAAGGTAGGCCTGTGCTAGTTACATTTTTTTAAATATGTAGACCTCAGTAAGTAGATATATGACCTTCAGGTGGTTAGTGCTGGAGTTGTTCTTTCTTCAACTCAACGTGTTTTTACTATTATATCAAAAGTTTTCACTGGGCCTTCCTAATTACCAAAATTTCTTCGTAGTTATCTTTGAGATATATGATTACGATTGGTATTGATTTGTTCAAGATTGGCAAAATGTTCAGAATGACATCGCTTCTATCCCTTTTAACAAGAGATGAAAACTTGAAAAGATTAAGCGTGACCCCGCTCAAGCGCACAGTACCACAGAACACAGGGCCTCTTCTATCTAGTTCACACTTTATTCTCATACTTATTTTACTCTTTTCATCCAGGTGAGTATGTGTTGGAGTGTGACAGTGCAAGAGAATTCGTTTCTCATGGTATCTCCAAGCCTACTCAACACTTCACAGCCATCTTCAACTCATTTGTATTGATGACCCTCTTTAATGAATTGAACGCGCGTAAAATACATGGTCAACGCAATGTCTTTGCCGGTGTCTTTAATAATTGGATTTTCCTTGTTATTTGGGTTGTCACTGTAATTCTGCAGATTATCATTGTCGAATTCGGTGGCTACGCCTTCTCCACACATGGACTTGATCTTAATCAGTGGATGTGGTGCTTATTCTTTGGTATCGGTGAACTTGTCTGGGGTCAGGTAAGCTTAATTGCATTTCGCATGGTTTTAATAATCTTGTAAAAAAATAACTTAGATATATTGGAATTTCTATGGTCTTTTAAAGTTTGATTTATTCTGAACGTGTTTTGTAATGTGTAGTCAGGTCGTGTTGTTGAGCCTTTTTATCGTTGCTCGGGCTCCAGAGAGAAAATTAAGCAGGAACTTAACCAAACAAACCTGGAAAACTGGCAGATATTTATTCACTGAATTTGGCAACTGCATATGCTTTTAGTATTGGGTTTTTCATGCTTGTAATTAGGCGGAAACGATGTGGCCAATCATTGCATTCATTCAAACAAAACGGTTTATAAGTGACTGTTGATTTCTTCATGCTATAGCCTGGAAATGGCATGGTGTTGATGTGGCGAAGCATTATTTGCCTTCCCGTCAATATGTTATTCATGCTGCGTACTTGACGAAAAGAATTGCATTATGATTCTTGGGTCCTGAATGCTAGGATAGAAGTGTGAAAAGCTAGTTTGCTAATTTCGTCAAACTGTTCTCATTCGGCTGTTAATCTTTACTCCCTCTCTCTCTCTCTCGCTTATGTTCAGCCCTGTATAAGATATGCCTTACGTTTATGATGAACTGAATACCATGGTACTTATTATCTCAAGCCTGGTTTCAGCTCTTTTTCTGAGATCATACAAGTAGATGACATAGACCTAGTTATCTGCATGCAAATTTCTCGATGCCTGTTAGTTAGAAGGTTATATCAAAATTTGTGATTAAAATATTGTCCTTACCAATAATAGGTCTCTCCTCAGTGTTCTACGCAAGCATCTCGAGCCTAGATCATTGAATATCCTACATGCTTTACATCAACTTGTGTAATCTTTAAGTTTAATTGATTCGTTTATTTTCAGGGATTAATGGACTTCTATACTAGCCATTTCACTCACTTTATTAGACAGTTGGTTAGCAATCCTCTTTTTATGGAGGTCCTCTAACAGGACAACCTGTAAAATCATTCAAAATTCATCAGTCATTTTTCTTAAGATTATGCTTTAAGCTCTTCTTTTTACCCAGTTGGTCATCTCAGTACCCGACTCCATTATTCCTGTGTGCAAATGTAAGAAAACTGTTGAACCAGAGCCCGAAGAACCCGAAGAGGAGGGAGACATCGAGGAAGAACCCTCTGGAACGCCCTCAGAAGAGGATGAGACCGCAGTCAAAGGTCAGATTCTCTGGCTACGTGGTCTCAATCGTCTCCAGACTCAGGTGAGTCCATTTAGCTCATTCGTTTTGCTATTTGTTCTAAATCAGTTACATAGCAGGGAAGAATTCAAGAATATAACAGGGGGTTTGCTCTGAAACAGATAAGTAGCTCGTCTATCATGTGGCTAGTGTAGTGGATTGAATGTAGGCTAGTGGATAGCAGACTAAAGGGTTAGAAGAGAAATAATTATACTTGAGTAAAAAACAGGGAGATAACAAAAGGTGTTGAGCATTTTTTGTGAGGGGTGATGGAGAATAGATGGCTGTGAAGTCATTATAAAGGAATTCACTGGGAGCCGGATTTCCGGGAGGATGATATGCGTTACCTTTGGTGGAGAGTATTACTTTCTCTTATGTAAGATTCATGAGATGTAACGGCCATTTTAACCTCCTGAAATGTTAGAGTCCCAGACCTGTCAAATAGTTTTTATGGTCAAATGTTATTTAACACCGATTTTATTTTAGCTTCTCAATTTAAGTGGCTTTAAGATTCTTATCCACTTCCCAAAATGAGTGTTTGGAAAATGATTTCCTTTGTTGTGTTCATTGATTAGTGTTTACCACTTCTAAACGGAATGTCTACAGTGTAAAACTGCCAACCGTTAGCTCTATCACAGTCTCCAACTTGCAGGTCCTGATGCACCCAGATTTAGACCGCGGAAGAGAGTTTGATTGTGTCTACGCTGTGTATACAAATTGGTGGCTGGGGAGGGACATTTCGCATATCTTCTGTAGCATAATTCGATGTCCTTAACTTAGTACTTGATACGAAATCCTCTAAGTTCACAAGAACACCCCTAGTATGATGAGTATCATTTCACCTTCAATGGGCTTGTGAATTAAAGGCAACTGCCCAATCATTGCCAATCTTATTTACCTCTTTCAGCAAAATCAGGTCAGTTTGGACAAAAAAACTCTAGACGTTGATGGTGTTACGCGTCATCTTCTGTCTAATATCACACATTGTTTTCAATTTATTTTCTTTTAACTCTACGTGTTTGGTGTGTGTGTCCTTCAACGGACAATGTTGGGCTCTCTTTGAATTTGTGTTTTGGCACAAACACGATATCACTAAATGTGACCAACCAATGACTTATTATTTTGCCTCTTCCTTTTACGTCCCTCCCCCCTCCACATTCACACCCTCAACTCCACTTGATGCTCATATGCGTAGATGCAAACTGTAAGTGATGCCGTTAATGAACTGCACTCTCACAGCTACTGCTTCTCACTCATACTTGATACGGAAGGCTTGTTCGAATTACCTCTCATCTCGCTTGCTAAAACACAACCCTTCTTGCTTGCATTTCGAAATGACGGCCCCTACTCCTTGTTCTACTCAGTACTCAGTACTGCTTTTGTAATCGGTTTTGCTACGAGTTTATTAGGATGCCAATTATCATTTCCGGAATGCCTTGTTGAATTGATTCAAGATCATTGAAATGCACGTGGAATCGGTCATGGCTTTTTTATCGGAATGTGAGAGAGAAGAAAGTGTGTAAACCTCGCTCTAACATATACATAACGCTTCATTCCTCCCCTCCCCCCCCTCATAATTTTGTTCCATTTCCATTTGCCTAGTGCTGGAGGAAACATTTGCCTGTTACCGTTCCCTCGTTCACAAACCTGCAAGTTAAGGGACTAGTAAGAGATGGTGTTATCCAATAAGACCCGCCATTTTGTCTTATCATCAATTTAGACTTTGTGTTGGGAGGGAATTAAATGATTCTCAGATAGTTATTCAGCTTCAGATTAAGCTATATTTAACTGGCGGTTTACTATTGGTTTAAACTGCACTTGTTTAAAATTGAGTGCGCGATAATTATAACTACCTTATAGACACAAATTATGGCCGAGGTAAGTCTGAATACTAGAAGTTTACTATGCAATCTCTTGTTTTACTCTGTCGTCTAGGTTTCGTGTATCTTAGTCTGTGTTGTCTATTCTGGAATTGGTAGACTTTTGTCCCCCTTTTTCCTATGCATGTGATAGTTTGTCATTAAATAAACAAGCAAAGTAGATTTATTTGGAGTGCATTTCTTAGCTTTACCCACTTAATGCCACTTCATTTGTTTATGTGTCTTCCCCTTCATGTCCCCCCTGCCTAACTATGTGTGTGTTGTGTCTTCAGTATTTGTCTTTATATGTCGTATATTTTAGGTTGAAACACACACACGCTCTTTTTAGTATTCACTAACACTGTTCTCTTTCTTTTCTCACTTTTTCCAAAAATTCGCCTATTGGCAATATAGCTCAAGGTTGTCAACGCCTTCCGAATGGGTTTGGATTCAAGAATTGACAGCGAGCAGCGCAAGAGTCTCTCAGCAATTGCTTTCCGACAAAGGCAGTCTATGGATGCTAATGAAAATGCTGGCGAAAATGAGTGTGCTGGCTCATCTGGAGCTCGGACTGAGCGTGCCGTGATGCACTGAAAAATGTGCTTTTGCAGTGATACGTTCTCTCTACTCAAAAACCACTTCCTCCTTTAATGCGAATTCTCTATTTCTCTCACCCTTTAGCAGCTGCCTTAAACCCCCCAACCCCTCCCCGCCCTCTCCGTTTGTGCCCTTGAAGGAAAAGCATAGATATACACACGGCCTAATCTGACCTCCGGGATTCTTTCCCTCTCCCTCTCTCTTTCTCTCTCTTTCTCGCTCTGTGTGTGTTCACTCACTCTATTATGACTCGTGATCTTTTGTTCTTTCTTTTCTTCCTCCTCATGCATACTTGCTGTTGTCGATTGAAACACTGGGTGATCATATGCGGATATATATATATATATATACATATATATACTATATACATTTATTAGTTATTTGATTTGACATCATCTAGTGCTGCTTTTTGTTTGGTTTGTTGATATGTGGCGTATGTTTAGTGTTTATTCATCTCGCCCCGTCACTCTTGCGAATTTTCTACAAAAACTCTTTCCAATCACGTGTAATTTCTACCTAGCCTCTAATTATCTACTTTCTTATTGGGCCCAGGTTCCCTTATCTTCACTCTTTCTTACATATCTCTACTTATGGGAAGGTGTTTTCTAAAACCTACCGCTTTGTGTTCCCTATACTCTATCGACTGAGCTTTGATTATCTCTAAAAACTCCACTTTTGCGATGCATATTGCAATTGTTTAAACATCTCTCTCTCTCTCTCTTGTTCTTTCTTATAGGCATGAATTCAACATGTCTACAAATTCCCATTTCCAAATTATTTTGTTCTCTCTATCTCCCTCTCTCTATAATGCCTTATATTTGGTGTCTGTGCTTCTCTTTTGAACCACAAATTTAGCTAAACACCACCAACAACAATATGTGATGTGATAGAAAGCGACTTTTTGATGCTATTTCACTTTGGAGGGGGTGGAAGGATAAGAATGTCCGGTTATTGTGGTCACAATAATCTAGAAATGTAACTGATTCAAGGCTTCCTAGTTAGATAACTTGCCTTAAGATGTAGAAAATTGCACACGGACAGTGGGGAATTTAAATGTTTCTTGAAAGTTGATACTGGGTATAATAATACCGATAGCAGTAATGTGAATGGACTTTTTCGACAATCTCCTAAGCGCATTTTTCGTTTGAGTTTGGGAGAAATAGGAGAATGGCGGGCGGTTTTAGTGTTTTTGCCTTTAGAATCCATATCCTGATCAAAGGTACTTCTTAAGGATTAATTGCTACTCATGGATTCGTAAGGAGTGAATAGGGCTTATGTCCTCAAAGGGGGTCAGAATTGGTGATTAAATTCGAAATCCCTTGTTTGACGTACACAGATCCTAAAATAGAATTCTTAGGGAATTTATTTGCGCAAATTCTTTGATGATTTTTTTCAGGATGAAGACAGCAATTGGGTTCATTTCTAATCAAAGCTTAATTTCCCCCACTCTGTTGTTGAGCCATTCCATAGAAAAGGGAAGTTGTCTAAGGAAATGAAGTTCTTAAGAAAATCAATAGATTACAGGATGCAGATCTTATCAAAGCATGAAAAAAATAATTTTTGAGTGAGTAGTGGTGATTAAAAACCAACAGGTTATGAATTGTATTGTAGTGATTAATAGTCAGTAAATTTAAGCACGAATGTGCATCTGCGAAAGGCATTAACACACTCATGCACCCAAAAGATATCGAAAATCGATCCAGAAACTGCATCACTTCCTCCCTTTGTTTTCTCACACATTTCACCCCGTATATGCCAGAGCTAAATTAAAATATATGTACATTATCATATATTTTCCCCAAACACAATTAGTTTTTTCCCGTTTAGCGGCTAATCCTGATATCCATTGTTTGAACTCCCCCCCCCCCTGCCGAATATCAATTGGACGGCTGCCTCCCTCAAAGATCGTTTCACTTTACTTAGGCTAATATATCTATTTCACTGAAGTTATAATGACTATGTACGTATAAATAGACTGGCAAGCGCCTGCAATTCACATCAGAAAGCGTATAACTCCACTTCAGATAGGAGGGAAAGTAATAGGTTTGAAGTGGGTTGCAGTTCATGATGTAAATTTTCAGATATTCGCGTGAAATTCTGAAATTTTGGATCAGCAGAAGCTGCGAAAGTCTGAGTGTGGAGTACGGGCTAGCTTAAAAGCTGTTTGATAAGTATCGCCTATCTCAAAATTGCACTAGAGAAGGGAAGCATTCGTGGTGACCCAGGTAAGCGGAGCATGGTAGTTAACAGGAACCCCTAGAGAATGAATTATACAAAGCTTTTAGGAAGGCTCGTGTTTTTGAAAACTTTTTCGCAAGGCTGTATAAGTTGTGTTTATAAAGCAAAAAATTTTATCTGATGAACGCGGAATTGTGTCACAAGAGTAAACTCAAATTTGAGAGGTATTTACACTTGTGAAATGGGGAAAAATGTAAAGATTCGAACCAGTTCACCAGCTCCTCGGATTCGAGATGCAACTTTTCTGCATGCATCGAATTATATCCTTATCGTTCACTGTGTTAAAGCCTCTTGTTGAGATTGAATTTTTCGCAACCATATTCATATGTGAACTTTATACCGGGTCTAGTTGGCTGGTTGACCTAACTCCAAGGTCGGTCATACCACCGTCTATCTCGCAGCAGCTAAGAGCAGGAGTGCGAGTTTAAAACGATATGTTAGCATGGCAGATTATTATGGTTTAGATTATTGAAATTTAATAATAATATTCGCAATAATGAATCGATCATCACTATGTGCATAACTTGTCAGAATGGGCTATTCGATTCTGGCGACGCCAACTTGGAAGACGTCAATAAAAGCCCTTCGAATCCGTGATGCTAGATCAAATAAGAAATTGAGGAAAGTGAATTGGTAAATGCTGACAGTTGAGTGGGAAGAATGAAAAGTGACTCCTGTTTCAACCAGAATGTTATCGACACTCAGTGTAATCCGGGAGCCAGTATTTCAAGTGTTCGAAGTTGGTGATGGATCCTTACAAAAACACATGAATATCTCTATGCGAAGCCCTCCAATAGCTATTCACCAAAACTCCAGTACCCAGTTTCTATAATTGGGACTTGTGTAGGAGATTACATTTTAGGACTTGGGAATATTAACAAAGCATACCACTCCGGAAAGAAATTTGTAGGGTTGAGAAGTATAACGCGAAAATCATTGTTATTTAAGGGGAATTTTCTTTAAGATAAGAGTGGAAATCTCTTTTTCTGCTAATGGCCTTTTTCGACTTTCAAACAAGCTTTTGGATGGAGGAAATTACCTCACTTGCTTGGATATATTTATTTTTTTCATGATAAAACGAAAATGACTTCATCTTTAAGGCTTGGGAAGCATTTAGTTGAGTCTGCTTTATAAACTATTAGTAAACATAAAGTTAGAGAAGGTATTCTTGAAGCCTGATAATTTATTTTCCATTAGGTATGGGTTTCAAGGAAAACTCAAATAAAAATTAATTTAAAAAGTAGTTTACGAAGGTGGTCGCACCTTCTTCAATTTAACATTTCAAGACATTTGAGCATTAAATTGCAAATTTTTTAAGTTCACGCCTTTCAATTGGATTGCCTTTTAGAAAAAAACAAATTTGATGCATATATATATATATATAAATCCGGTTTAAAAAACAGATTGGTTGAGTTTCTTTTGTGAAATGAAACTAAAAAAAGGGAGTATAGAAAAGGAAATGAACGGTAATGAAGAAATAACTCCTTACACCTGTTTCCTGAGTAATTTCACTGGTCGTAAATTTCTGTAGAGTAATTTTCTGATTCCCCTTTGATTATTCAACTTTACTCCTTGCTCCCATTTGGAGAAACTATGAGGAGCTGTCAATGTTTATATCAAATGATGGACTTTATGATAATTACCATTACCCCTAAACTGACTTCGGGTTTCAAAGGGTGGGGGGAGGGGGGGGGGGAGAAACATCAAATTCACAAAATGTAGAGAGAGAGAAAATAGAGGAGGGATTGACAGATGTCAAAGAGACAAGCACGGAAGTAGAGAAAAAGGTAAGATGAGTACTGTGGAAGTGGTCGAATATGACATACAATGGGGTCATTGTAGTTTGAAGTGAGAAGTCAACTGCCGGTTAAGACATTTTGCTTTATGAGTATACGAGGAGCAGGGTGCACCACGTGGAGGTAAGTCTATCGCGTACCCCAGGGCTGTCACTATAAAACCTCCTAATCCATGTAGATTTGAGAGGTGAGCAAAATAATCGGAGTGGTCTCTGCCAAATTACCACTAGGTCTTGTAGTGGCACTACATCATGGAAAAGTCATGCAAACGTACAAATATGGGCAATTGAGCAAGTTAAAAGGAGAACAATTAGCAATATTGATCTTTTGAACGTCAATAACATAGCACTGTTTCGATATAAGATTGGATTTTCAACTCCACACCGAATGGCAGGGTTGACTAATAACCCGCTCCCGAAACGCTTAGTTACCAGCTCCTGTGTACCCTAATTTGGGGGGGGGGGTTGAATGGGGACTCTAAAAGTGTGTATTTAGCATGCTCAAGTTTAAAACCCTGCTGTTTGAGCTTATAGTCATGGGTTTTAACTCCAATCCTTGGTATATTTTTGAGCAAAAAAGGTCTATCAGGAGTTAATATGACGATGTTACAAATTTAATTGAGAAAATGACATTTCACTGACTATAATTTAGAAAGGTCCAAATAACGCAACCAATCGATTTTTGCAATGATATACTATAGTAACTGCTATGTGCGAATTTTTAAAATTCGTTTTCAAATCCTCAGCATGTGAACACAGGGCCGAAATTGATTCAATCTTTCCATTGTCCTACTTCAATAATCCTCTCACGGCTTTAAGCAAAGAATCTAAGCCCAAGATGGAAACTTAGAAACATCTTCAGTCGCCATCACAATGTGGTTCTTAAGAAACACTCGAACCAGAATAATTGGTTTTTTTAAATCACCCCAAGACTTCGATAAAAACCTATTTTTAATAATTAATA